GGTATATAAGTCTACTGCTATTGCTATTGCTATAAATAAGGACACTTGGGAAATGGAAACTTATTTATAATTCAGCTAAAATACCCTAAACCTATTATGAATGAACACATCTTTGCTTGCTAATGGAGTTCTGAGTGTAGTTATCAACAAGTCTTTCTTTTGCATTCATTCCATCTAGACCCATGAAAGCAGCAAGACTCAGAGAAAATTTTCTCAGAAGAATTTGAAAGTCAGTTTGGCTCACATGTAAGTAAATAGAAAGTGGAATGAACATATCTTCTAAATATATGAGTTCCAAATATATCAATGAAGTGAGTGGTGTAATATTCAGAGAAATGCTGTTAGGCAACTATGTAATTAAATGAGTACAGAACTGCTTCTAAAATCTGCCAAAATTATTATTTTTCTATAAAATTCAAATAAATATCTGTAAGGCTCTTTGCTTTATTTTACCATGCTTTATTTATTTTACCTTTGCTTTATTTTACCATGCTAATATCTTCATTCTTGCTTAAATGTGTATCTGTGTGTCTTTCTGTGTAAATAAATGTAAATAAGGAGATATATATGGATTTGTCCATCCATCCATCTATATATCCATCCAAAGTCCTGCCTTCATTCACTATGAGAAACTTTAATTCCATTCATAGATGAAGAAAATCATGAACAGGGTCATATTTCTGGTGAGAAGCTTCACTAACGTATGTATTACATTTCAGAGATATTATGGTCCTATCATCTCCAACTATAACGTTCATATGTTTTTTTCTGGTATGCTTTAAAAGGCAGAATGATCTTGTGTTAGGCAGAATGATCTTGTGTTAGAATAGCAATTTATGACTAGGACTGGTAATTTAATATAGGAGATCCTTGTATACTATAGATTTGGAAGAGAGCTAACTTAAAGATGTCTAAGAGATTAAGGAAAAGAATGTCAAAGATTTAAATTATAATATAATAACTACTATTTACAAATAGCACTTCAGAAGGTCTTTCATTTCTGCTTTTCCACTCACACAACATACTCAGTATGATTAAATACTAATGATTAAGGAATTCACTACTTAGTGTATCATAAATGATACAATATTTTTTTTTAATTTTAGTTATGATTTAGTTATGATTATTAGGAGATGAGTGGTATATGAGTGAGTGAGATATATGTGTGTATTTATTTGTTTGTTTGTTTTATATTGCCACCTATTCCCCCATGGTGACTTAAGGCAGCTCACTGAATACAAAACCACATTTAAAACAATAAAAACTAACAAAAAGAATAAAATAAATTAATATAGTACAATATAACAAAATCACCCCCCAACTCCCATCCACTACCCTGGCAATAGCGGATGACATGAGACATTTAATGGGATCCATTCTGTCCTGGGTTTCCTAGGACTGCTGGCAGAACCAGGTCTTCAGCATCTTCCGGAAGAGTATTAGAGCGGGGTCAATTTTAATCCCTGGGGGAATGATATTCCAGAGAGAGGAACGAAGAAGATTCTTCTTCTGGGTTCCACCAGGTGTATCTTCCTTGGGGATGGGACCCACAACATTTCCTGCCTCCCTGCTCCAATGGATCAGGTAGATGTGACCAGTAGGAGATGGTCCCTCAGATAACCTGGTCCCATGCCATGAAGGGTTTTAAAGGTGACAACCAGCACCTTGAATTGCACATGGAAGCAAATCCGCAACCAATGCAGCTCCCGCAGGAGAGGTAATACACACCAGACAGTGTCTGCATAAAACCATGATGGTCACTGCGTTTTGCACCAACTGGAGCTTCCAGATGTTCTTTAAGGGTAGCCCCAAATAGAGCGCATTGCAATAGTCAAGACAGGAAGTGACTGGAGCATGAGTGACTGTGAATAGGAAGTTTGGGCCAGGAAAGGGCATAACTGGTGCACAATCAGCAGTTGCACAAAGGCCCATATGATCGCAACTGCCACCTGCTCTTTGAGTAGGAGTCATGAATGCAGGAAAACCTCTGCATTATGTGCAGGAGCTGTTTGGGGTAGTGCCACCCCATCCAAGACCAAAGGTGGCAATTCTCCCTGAATGAACGAAACCCAAACCTAGAGCCACTAGGTCTTGCAAAGGTTTAGTTTCAACCTGGTGTTCCCCATCCAGCCCCTAACAGCCTTTAGGCACTGCAAGAGGTAGACACAGCATCATTTAACTCACCACAGATCGAGACATACAGCTAAGTATCATCAGTCCATTTGCCTTCTCCGGTCATACACAGATTCCCTACATAGAATCTACTGCTGGTCCTTCAGGCACTGACAGGACCACCATTTGAGCCCATTCGCACAGTCTCTTGACTCTAAAATTAGAGTCTATTGACTCTAAAAGTCACATTCCTAATAGCTATTATATCGGCGAGACGTATTTCAGAGCTTGGTGCTCTGTCATCTTGAGACGACTTGTGCATTTTCCATCAGGACAGGGTAATATCAAGACCAGACCCAACCTTTCTCCCTAAAATTAATACTCCCGTTCATAGAGCGCATGAGGCAGTATTACCCAATTTCTGTCTGGCTCCTTCCCACACAAGGGAGCATCTCTGGCAAAGGCTGGATGTCCGTAGGGCTCAGGCAAACTGCCTCTTTTTGCAGGTTGGAGGCATTGCTGGTGTCTTTCCAACCGGCCACACAAGGGGCTAGGATAACCCCTAACACAATAGGTAGATGGTTGAGAAAACTTATAACCTTGGCCTATGAAGCCAAGGGCAAGGTTCCATCTCAGGGTATCACCGCGCATTCTACCCACCAGAGCAGCATGGGTGACTAGAGTGCCATTTGAAGATATCTGTAGGGCAGCATCTTAGGCATCCCCTACTTCTTTTATTCGACACTACAGACTAGACACTTATGCGTCAGTGTCTTTTGGACATAGAGTGTTGCAGCAGGTAGTGGCTCCTACAGCTGCTAGGGATTCATAACTTCTTCCCCACTCTATGGATGGTAGCTTGGATACATCTCGATGGTTGCACTTCCTGCTTCCCATCATGGAGAACAAATGTTAGTACT